GCAGTCTGGGTCTGGGCAGGATAACTCTCAGTCCTCACCCCCCAAGCCATTCTTCTATACAAGCAAACCTGCCGTGCTGGAGCATCGTGTCTGGGGTGGGAGGCCAGGGCGCTGCAAAGGTAGTGTAGAGTCTCTGGGGTCACAGAGACATCATCCCAAAGCCTCCCCCCGATGAGAAGTTTTGGGCCCCAGGTTACCTCTCACCCTGTTCCACATTAGGCCAGGGGGCCCAGCTGTGCCCAGCCTTCCAGGTAAGACTGAGACATCTGTATCGCGTTGCTCCCTGTGCCGCAGGCTTCATCGACTTCATTGTGGAGCCCACGTTCTCTGTGCTAACTGATGTGGCAGAGAAGAGTGTTCAGCCCCTCTCGGATGAAGACTCCAAGTCCAAAAACCAGCCCAGGTGAGGTGGTCGCCAGGTCTCCTGGTTCTGGGGGAGGGAAGCTGGATTCAGCTGTGGGGAGGGTGGCTGCTCCATGGTTGGGAGCCCCTCCCCCGCTTGCCAGAGTTGTGGGCAGGATGATGAGATTGGAAGGGTGTGACCCACACCTGTGCTCCCCTCCCCTCTAACTTTGTTTCTTCCTTTACTTCTGTCCTTAATGCCTCTGGCTAATCTTGTTCCAGCCTTTTTCTTCTACGAGGAGGAGTGGCAAGGGAGGGGTACAATTAGGGGGAGAAGGACAGGACTTGAAGGGTTTCTAGGAAGGGAGAAGAGAAGAAGGAGGCTCCCTGAGCCGGTCTTCCATCTCCTCCACCCTGACGGCTGTGAAGTGGTTCTGTCTGGAGTGGGCAGACTCTTACCTCTGGGGGTATGTGTGGGGGTCCCGTTTCTAGCTTCCAGTGGCGCCAGCCCTCTCTAGATGTGGAAGTGGGAGACCCCAATCCTGATGTGGTCAGCTTCCGTGCCACCTGGACCAAGTACATTCAGGAGAACAAGCAGAAATGGAAGGAGCGGGCTGCAAGTGGTGCGTGCCCTTGGTGGGTGGGGAGGGCTTGTGTGAGACGCTCAGGGGGCAGTAGCAGGTCCATGTTCCTGAAGCTCCTGGAGCAACCCTTTGTTGGACTCCTGGAGTTGGGAATGGAACTGATGAGACTAATGTTAGATCCCAGTGAAGATCAACCATCTGAATGTCCTGGACTACTCAAGAATGGGGGCTGGATAGAGGATAGATAGGGGCAGTCATATATTGCACAACCCAGGGGACCCTGGGCATGCTGTGGTCTCTGCCACATTGTGGTGCTGCCTCGTTAGGTTTGGGTAACTTGGTGGCCCTGGCTGGGGAGCGAGGGAGAGGAGGTTGTGAATTTTAGCAGGCTTTTTCCAAGTAGGGGTGGGTTGAGCGTAGCTGAACTTGAAGGCAGGGTGGTGGATGAGAATCCCTTACTTCTCTCCACAGACTTTTTGGGTTCTGGGGGAAAGTATTGCTTGGTCTGAGCTCAACTTTCTTTTCTTTCTTTTCTTGAGTCAGCATAGCTAATAATTTAATGGTATGTCACATTGAGACAGTGTAGGTACAAAACTCCAGTCTCACTTTTGACCAAGGGAGACAACACAGAGCAACATGACCCAGCCTAATTAACCAAAAAGGAATAAAAATTAAGGGCTGTGCATGGTGGCTCACATCTATAATGCTAGCACTCTGGGAGGCCGAGGCTGGTGGATTGCTTGAGCTCAGAAGTTCCAAACCAGCTTGAAGACCCCATCTCTAATTAGCTGGGTGCTGTGGTGGACACCTGCAGTCCCAGCTACTCAGAGTTTGAGGTTGCTATGTAAGCTCAACTTTCTTTCTGCTCCTCTGCAGGCATCACCAACCAGATGTCCATTGATGAGTTGTCCCCCTGTGAAGAAGAGGCCCCGCCCTCCCCTGCAGAAGATGAACACAACCAGAATGGGAATCTGGACTAGCCCAGGGGCTGGCCTAGGTGGGCCTGTGCTAGAGGGAGTAGGGAGAGCTGGGCGCCCAGCGGAGCATGTTGAACGGGTCATCTGTGGGGTCCAGTGGATGTGAGGTTCTCCCTCCTTTATTCCCTTTTTCCAGGCAGTAAAATGGAAGAAGTGAAGACAGAATTGAACTAGGGTGGGGGTGGGTGGGGAAGTCCTCCTGCTCTGGTCTGTCCCACAGTCCCTGCAGGAAGAAAGGAGGCAGCTTCTCAGTGCTCAGGTGGGGCCCACACAGCTCCTCTGTGAGGGCAAGGGCAGGGGACTCCAGTCAGGGCACAGGCCTCAGTGAGGTCTGTGAAACATGACTTCGATTTCAGCCCTACTCACACTCTTAGCTGGGCACCCTTGTCAAGGGCGTTTTCTTTGCACAGCTATACTCAGGACCGAGTGGGGATTGGGACTCGGAGCAGGAAGGTCAGGCTGGAGATGGAGGCAGAGATGGAGCACTGAGTCTCTCTCTCCCCAGGTCCTCACTGAGTCCAGCGTTCAACGTCATCAGCACCATCCATCAGGACTGGCTCCCCCACCTGCTCCAAGGGAGCATAAAGGTTGCGGAAGAGACAACCCACCCGAAGGCCACATGCCAGAGACTGTGGGGTTGGGGGAAGGGCCCCTCCCCACCTGACACCCTTTGGGGCACACTTTAATGTTCCGGCAGCAAGACTGGGGAACTCCAGACTCCCAGTGGTCACTGTGCCCATCCCCCAGCCTCTGGACTCTCCTCATGGCTGGATGGCTGCCTGGGAGGGGAGAGCTTCATGGGGCTTCCCAGGGCCTGGGGGCAGGGAGGGTCAGGATGCCAGCCCCTTTGGCCCTCCCTTGTCCTTTTTGCCTCCAAGTTTCTAAGCAATACATTTTGGGGGTTCCCTCAGTCCCCCAACCCAGATCTTAGCTGGCAGGTCTGGGTTCCCATGATCCTCCCTTGGGGAGGGCTGGAAGAGGAAAGCTGGGGATTTTCAGAGCCCTAGATGCAGGAGGGGAGTAGAGTGGGCTCTTTCAGGGCATTGCACCTTTCTAGGACCTGGGAAGGGGAAACATCCTCTTTTTCGCAGACTTGCACTGCTCCAGCCCATCCCCAGCACAACCCCCTGCAACATTCCCTCTTGCCTACTCTGAATAGTGACTGGGGGAAAAGAAGAGCCATTGAGACCAGGGGCTGAGGGGAGGCCTTTCCTTGGGACTGGTCTGGGTCTCAGGCTTGTCACTTGCCCTGACTGAGTCCCCCAAGCTCTTTATCTCCTCCCTCTCCCCTGGAGTTGGGAGGCTCCCATCCGACCAATGTCTGTAAAGTGCTTTGAGGAGTCCCCAGCAAAGCACCTTCAGGATGTATCTTATCAGCACAGGCAGGAGAGACCAGCCGGGTTGGGGTCAAGGGTGCGTGGGGAGGTAAGGTATGATCCAGTAATCTTGTGTTACCAACAGAGGGCGTCCGTTCCCTCTCACCCATCTCAGAACTAGCCCGGCGGCAGGCACCAAGAGGGTCCTTCCTTGGGACTTAGGCAGTGGTGGGCCGAAGGCAAATGGAGGAGGGGCTCAGGGGTGTTGCTGTCAAGGCCTCTTGAGAGACCCCAGGCCCAGGGCCCCTTCCTCTCCTCAGGCTCCCTAGCTCCCACCTCGTCCCAGGAAAGGCCATAGTCCAGGTGACTGCCCTTCTCCTTCCTTGTAAATACCAACCATGCATTTGTACAGTGGGCCCTGTGCGTGTGAAATCCACATCCATGGTCTCTTAACCTGCTGCCCTGACACTTGTCCCTCCCACCCACTGACAGTGGGGCAGAGACGCATGTGAGTCACCCCTGCCCTTGGTCTACCAGACCCCTGCTATAGCCAGATCAATAAAGAAGAGAGACCTGGCCTGGCTGTTTGGTGTTTACTGGTGGATGCTAACTAAGCATGTCTTTTTAAAGCTTGATAAAATCTGGGTAAGGTTTCTTCCTATTTTACACACACATATAAATGTATGAATGTGTAGTAGGTGGGCGAGCTGAGGCCCAACCCAGAGAGATGAGGCCTTGCCCAAGGGCACACAGCAGGTGTATGGCAGAAGTGGGACCTACATGTCTCAGGCTCTTTATCTTTGCACTACACTGCTGCTTCAGTGAGGAGGGGAAAGAATCTTGCCTTCCCTCCTTTCCTCTCTCCCCTCCACCACCTGGAAAATCCAAAGCAGCGGCAGGACACAATGTGTAAGGTACACGGTACACCTCCCGTGGGAGGGGCACAACTACTACTTGGACTCTGACAAAAGCAAACACTGTAACCTTATCTTCTCTATCCTCATGTTAATTGGAAGAAAAAAAGCAGTGGCCTCTGGTGGTGAAGTTTCTTCATTTATGCTTGGTTTTTGCCTAATCTGGGACCCTCAGGGTCTATAGGACAAGAGGACAGATGACTCTTCCTATTCCCAGCAAGGGCCTCTTCATCAGTAGCTACTATGTTGTCTGTTTTTGCTAAGGGGTTGGAATAAGGGACGTGGTCTCAGAGCTGGAGGAGGGAATACATCTTTGGGAATCCAAAAAGAAGGCAGCTGAGGCCCGGTGGGCAGCCAAGGAAGCATCTCCTCATAACACTCTATATTGTCCCCATAGGTCAAGCGCTAGGGTGCAGTTCCCCGTGTGTCCAGCAGATGGCGGCCACAGCACAGTCACAGCCCGGCACGGCGCCACCTTAGCCTCCTAGTCTTCCGGGTGCAGGACAGGCCTGCCAGGTGGTCAGATCTTTCCTCAATAAGAAAAGAACCTGGGGTTTTTCTTCCTTCTTGGCACTCTGGAAATTAGTCCTTTCACCTATCTGTGGGAAGAGAGACCCCTACTTCTCTTTCCATAGCAAGTAAAGGCAGAGCTGGGGGAAGAATGCCTCCTTCTCAAGGGTTATTTCCTCCTTCCCAGAGGCAGCTGAATGGAGGGGAAGGGGCCCCCAAGAGAGCAGGACAAAAGGGAGGGAAAAGATTCTCTGAGTCATGAAAGAAGGAAAGTGTCAAAGACCTAACATCAAATTTATCACTTTTTAAAAACGAGTAAATTTCCCCAAAAGTGAAGAAATAAGAAACAAATCCAGTGTCCATGCATTCCCAAACTGCAGTCTTGATTCCAGGATACCTCTTCTCTCAGACCTGTTGTGGGGGAAAGAGGCAGAAAGAGGTGAGAGGCCAGAGGTTCAGAGGTCATTGTGTCCCCTCCCCTGCTGACCATGCCATTGTCAAGCATCTAACTTCTTCTCAAGAAGGGTGTGCTAATGTCTGATAATAGTCGCTGCTCCCTGTCCAGTCCGTGCAGAGGAACTGAGGATTGTAAAATCAAAACTCAGGAAACTATCAATGTGTGGGCCTCCAGGCACCACCACAGTGGGCAGCTGAGGATCTCTGGGTTCCTTTATCAAAAAAATCCATGGCCTACTTCTATCACCCATTCCAGGAGTCAGAAGTCCTACATAAAGTCTAACCTCAATCCTTCCTGCTGCAGCTCAATCCCACTTCTCTTTGTCAGAGTACACGTTAAGGTCTCTTACTATACAGGATAACTTTTCAGTGACTGAAGCTGGCCCTTAGTCCTTTTTCTGGGGTCCAATACTAGCCCCTTCCTCATCCATACAGCTTGCTCTCCTGCAGATCTGGCAGCCTAGCCCTGGGGTCTTACCTAATTGGTCCCCTAGGAATCCAGTGGTCGTATATGGGTTGAGGGTTCTTCTGTGCTGGATTTCTCACTGCCCCACTCCTGAGTTTTAGGGATGGACTCTGCAGGCTCTAAGGAGGGAAAATGGGTAGTGGAAGAGATGGCATTTATAGAGGCCTTGGAGAGAAGTGACTGCTTCTGCTCACTACATCTCATATTCTAAAGACTCAAAGCTCAGTTCAGTGGACTTGGGCAAGAACAACAGGATTTTTCTCTGATCACAATTACTACTATAGGCCCACTGTTTTTTATTTCTTTCTGCAATCAGAAAAAAAAAAGAATAAAATCTCTAAAAAAAGTTAAATAAAACTTGAGTATAAACTCAATGTGTGGCTAAACCTGACCTCAACTGATAAGAAGCTATTTTTAATCTTTATTATTTATCCTATTTAGTGAGACCATTCACTGATTACAGAAATATTAATGTGTTTGATTATACAGTACTCTGTTGGGGATATTATGTCAAGTATATGACTGTATCACCTTCATAAATTGGAAAAATTCTTAATTGTGGAATACATTTAGGATAAGAGATTGTGAACATGTACATAGTATTAACACCACTACCAGCTTCCATTCATTGTATACTTTGTATTTGATAGATGCCATGCTGAGAACCAGTGTCATTTAATATTCACAAACAGCCCAATGAAATATGCATCATCATTATAATTTTATAGACTGAGGTTGCTAAGTAAGTGGCTCAAGGCCTCTTACTTGAGAGCTGGTAAAGTGACAAGTGGCAGAGTTCATGACCTGCCTGAACAAGAGCGAGACCCCCCTTTCTAAAAATAGCTGGGCGTTGTGGCCAGTGCCTGTAGTCCCAGCTACTTGGGAGGCCGAAGCAAGAGAATCGCTTGAGCCCAAGAGTTGGAGGTTGCTGTGAGCTATGATGCCACTGCACTCTACTGAAGGTGATAAAGTGAGACTCTTGTCTCAAAAAAAAAAAAAAAAGTGACAGGTGGCAGAGCCAGCATTCTAGCCTATGAGTGGTGTTCCCATTCAGGTAGGTTCCCTTAAAGAGCCACAATAGGGATCTCTGAGGTCTGAGTTGGGAGGGCTTGGCCATTCAGTAAAGGTGAAAATTCAAATATATGCAAACATGCAGATCTATCTATATCCCTGAAATGGTTTTTGGCTACTACCATAGCCTTCTTCCAGGCTCCAACTCTTCCTCCCTCCCCCCACTAGGTCAGGCCTGCCTCCTGCTGGGCTGTGAACAGGTTGCCTGAGGCCCTCCCCAGCCTGCACATACTTTGTGCTGTCCCAGAGGTGCCCATCTTGGACTCTGCTCCTGTGTCTGTGATCCCAGATGGGCAGGACTCCTGGGCCCCTGTGCTCTCAGCAGCTCCCTCAGGCTCCTCTCCTTGTTCCTGTTGCCCTAGGTGATGTTCAACCATCATCTGGAGCTCTGGAGGCAAGGAGAAAGGGAGGGAACACTGAACATGACTGCCTAGAATCTCCCCTGTAGACCCCCAAATCCAGTAGCCCCAGTAAAGTAAATGCACATTAAGGGTGTTTTAACTTTCCCATCCACTGAGATCTGAACAAGGGGCAGATATTAGTTGGGCAATAAGGATGGACTGAAGCTAGACCATAAAAAGTACTTCCTTCACAGGTAAGGGGTGGCAGGGGAAGAGCCTTTAAGAACAAAAGGTACTCAGAGCTTGCAGGATGTGTGGTTTCCCTTGGAGGCAGGAGGAAAGACTCAAAGTCAGTCAAGAAACATTTGAGTACCTCTGTGGGCTGTGTACTGTGCCGATGAGCTCACATAATTTACTTATCTGACATAGTGAGGTAGTTTTCAAGGCTCAGCAGGTCAGTGAAGCAGCTTCTCCAAGGCCACTCAGCTAGTTAGTGGCAGAGCTGGGATTCTAGCCTCAGTTCCTCTAGCAACAGCCCCTCCATGGTAAAGGCAGATCCAATGACCTCTCTCCCAAAGGAGTCATTAAGTCTGCTCCCCAGCTTCAGGCAGAGAGGAGAAGAAAGGGATAGGAAGGGTCTTCGAAACCTTTCATCGTGGGTGTGATCCTTGTCATCTTCTTCCGTTGCCGCGGAGACATCGACAAAGTGGACTGTGGAGGACACAGAGCACAGGTGGGTACCAGCCCCGCTGCCCTCCTCCTCAGCCTTGCTGCACTTTGGGACTGGAGCTTGGGGGTAGGTGTGAGCTTCAAAATGTGGGGGAAGAAAATTCCCAAGCCACCTCCACAACAGTGAGTGAGAAGACCGCGCGCTGTGTGTGAGGGGCATGTGGTCCACTCATTCACATTTGTGGGGGATGCACGGAAGAGGGAGTCCAGAGGTCCTAAAGATGGACGGCAGGGTTTTGAGGAGACATCCTCCAAGGAATCCCTGGGTTCTCTGGGCTAGGCCAAACAGGAGGGACCAGCTCACCTTGAGAAGTGGGTTGGGGATCCGGTCTTCATCTATCTCTGAGGGGAACAAGGAAAGGAGAAGGTGATAAGACAGCAAATCCAGGGGTCCCCACAGAGCTGACTTCCCAGGGGAAGAGGCTCTGCCATCACCTCCTTCCAGATCTCTCTTTTACCTCCACCCCCAGGCGTTTGGCATGATGAATGCCCCGGACCTACTTCTGCTTTGCCAGCTGCCTCTATCCCCTGTACTGAGTCTGAGTCCTGTCCCTGACTCTGTGGTCCCTGAAAGCAGGGTTTGTGGTGTTTTTGCTTTTTTTCCCCTGGGAAGTATCCGTGTCTCTTTCTCTTTCCAATCAAACCTCCCCAGGGCCAATCAGAACTGAGCCCTGTATAGGAGGGGCTGCTGATAAAGAACAGGAAATTTATTTTGTGCAGGGTCCTGGAAGGTACAATCATTTCCAGTAGCTGTAGGAAAGCAGGAGACACAGGAACCTCGAATTCCAGTCTAGCTTATGAGCTGACTCCTCTCCTCCACTCCCGGCCAGCTTCCCTGACATTCTCTGGGACCTGGTTATCTCCCTAGACCTTGATGGGGATGCTGGTGACCAGAATCCCAGCTGCTCCCTGAGCTGTTTCTAACCTTCCCTCCCCTCTGGGGGCTGTGAAGACAGCTGATGGAGGCGGTCCCTCCCCCTCACAGCTGACACTGCCTCTGGGGGTGGGGGCAGCAGCATCTCAGTTGCTGGAGAAACCTGAAAGGCTGTTGCCACAGCAACCAGCACTCAGTTGACCACCCCAATTCCTGGGGGGGGCCTGGGAGCCAGGTGGTCTCCCTTCCCTTCCTAGCACTGCCCCATCTTCCTAAAAGAAAGGAAATCCTGTGAATCCAGGCACTTTCCTGCCTTTGGGGTTGAGACTCCTGCCTCTTCAGATCTGTCCTTCCTTCTAGGGCCCATCTCCTCTCTCTGGCACCCAGCTGTCTGTGGCGGGCCCCACTCCTTTCAGTAACCCATCCTTTGGGGTACCTGGGGATGACTGGTCACTGGTCAACACAAGGGTGGCAGGGGTGGGGCGGCGTCTCCGAATCTGAGGGAAAGTGGGAAAGGGGGAAGAGGTGAAGTACACATGGAAGCATCAAAGCCCCACCCAATGCCACTCGGCAACAGAATCCAGGCCAGCCTATCTCCCACACGATAGAAACTGCCATGTGACACTGAACCCACTGTCCCAGGGCAGACATCCTTGGTTGGGCCCTTCCTCCTCCCTGGGGGACAGCTACTCTTGAGGACTCAAAAGACCAACACCACTGCCTGAGTGGCCCCCATCCCCCTGTTCCATCTCTCCATCTCCCCTGGTCCTGGCCCCAGCTCTCCATCTCAGCAGCTGTATCTGCTCTGATGTATTGATCTCTGGCCTGCTGTCCTTCCGTCCATCCTCGATCAATGGTCAGAAATAACTTGAGAGACCATAGAGATTTCCTTCCATCTTCCACCCACTCCTCAAGCAGCCATTCACATTTTGGGGGTCAGTACCTACAGAGAGCATCCCTCAAGCACACCCAGCCTGGCAGGACAGCACAGTGAAGGAAGGTCTATATTTCCCCTGGTTTGTGCTCTCATCCTCAGTGTCCTCCCTATTCTTGGACATATTACCTTTCCGATTTGTCAAGAAATAAGGTTTGCCACACTGTACCCCAGAATTACATTAATGTACATAGTTATCATTGAAAAAAAAAGAGAGGAAAAAAATAAACAGTTTAACCCCCCCCAAACAAACAAACAAACAAACAAACAAATAAGGTTTGGTGGCCGGGCGTGGTGGCTGTAATCCTAGCATTCTGGGTGGCTGGAACAGGTGGACTGTTTGAGCTCAGAAGTTCGAGACCAGCCTGAGCCAGAGCGAGATCCCATCTCTAAAAATAGCTGGGTGCTGTGGTGGGTGTCTGTAGTCACAGCTACACAGGAGGCTGAGACAAGAGGATTACTTGAGCCCACAGCTGTGAGCTATGGTGCCATGGCACTCTACCTAGGGTGACAAAGTAAGATTCTTTCTCAAAATAAGAAAAGAAAAGAAAAAGAAAAGAAAGAGGGCTTGGGGATATCCTTGTTATGGTAAGTACAACATGAGGAGAAGCCAGGTCAGGGTCTAAAGTTTAGCTGAAAAATCTTATCTTGGGCTCCTGGTTCCAAACTAAAAACTTAATATATAAAACTGATAGACTGTTGGGCTTCTGAGCCCCTCAGCCTTGCTGTTCTTTTGTCATGCTGCCAATGACGTTGACTATTGTTGAAGTTAGTCCAAGGACTCCTGGGAAGTATAGTTTTTGCCTTTCTCCAGAGGCAGGGGTGTCCAACCTTTTTTTTTTTTCTGCCACACATTAGAAAAAGAAGAGTTACCTTGGGCCACACACTAAATACATAACGAAACATGATGAGCAAAAAAAAGAAAAAAAAAAGGCCTGTGCGTACTTTCCTGATATCTGACACTATGGATAAACACAGAAAGTCCTCACAAAATCAGCATGCTCTACACCCCTGTGAGAGGCTTGGAAATGAATAGAAGGATGGGTGTTAGAGTCTCTGCAGTTACCACTAGGTCAAGTCCAGTGGGGCTGGGAGGGGGGCTAAAATTATCCAGGACTGAGAGGAGTCGGGCGAGGGCACTGAAGGATCAATCCTCACCTTTGTGTGTCCACTAGTATCATTACCACCAGCAGTGGGGGATGAGAGTGGTGAACACTGTCCTCTCTGCTCAGAAAAGTGGGTACCAGCTATAGCAGGAGGCCTGGCTGTTTAAGCCTGAGTAGGGACTCACCCCAAAGAAGCAACACGATGTAGAGAATGGGGGGATGTGGGGGTAGGGCACTGTTTTCCCAGGAGAATCCAGTGGCATCTGTGTTTGATGACATTTCAAGGTCCTGGGCAGCACCCGCCCTGTGTGTGTGTGTAGACCCATATACTGCACAGACATTAACTGTGAGTTGGCCCAGCAGGTGGGCACGTGTGCTTCACTACGTGGGGTGGGGGCCATCCTTGTACCAGAACATGCCTCTCTTTCTCTTTCCATCCTAGGGTGGGGAGGTGAGGTATGGGCTGAGACAGGGAGAGGGTGGGGTGTGGACTGTGAATTGAGATAACATCTGAGTTGGGAGCCTGAAAGGAGACTGCAAGTGTGATGACAGAGGCCTCTGAGAGGGCAGCAGGGCTCTGTGATCTTATATTGGTCCTTTCCTTAAGCTTTTTCTTTGCCTTGGACAAGGTTTCTAAGCACTCAGAGTCCTTGAGAACTGTGATATCCTACAGCAGAAAGAGAAGGCAAGTCAGACTTCCTGAAGTACCTCCCAGGCCCCTGAGCTACTAGGAAATGAGTACATGGTCTCTTGTCTTTTTCTTGCACGTATCCAGAACCCTAGCTCTCAAGGACCTTGAGAGCGGTGCCTTCGCCCCTGATATATTTCCAAACCAGTCACATCAAGGATCTGGAAGTTGTGGGCATCTCTCCACCCCTGCTACTCTGTGCTCCATAACTCAGAGCTTGCAAGTCCTGTCACCCTCCTGTGTTGGTCTGAGTTGGCAACATTCGCCAAGCCTTTTGCCTACACACTTGGTAACGCAACAAGAGGGACTGAGGTTAGACTGCAGGTGTAATTGCAGGCCTAGGAACCACACATTCTGAAGATTAGCGAAAAACAGGCCTAAGTCCCAGCTCTCTTTTTTCCTCTGTTCCTTGCCATTGCCCCATGCCCCTCCCTTGTCCCCCAGATCTGTGAGCCAGCTGGCCTGCCCCTCCTCCCAGCACACACCTACCACACCTGCCTCCTCCAGTACCAAATAGATGCAGGTGTCAGGCCCTGGCGGTGCCAGGGGGAGGCAGTTCTCCTTGGAGCCTCACCCCCATCCCTCATAGCCCACGCTCTGGAGCTCTCTTTTCTGGGTCTTAGCCAGTCCCCTGCCTCCAAGTATAACAGTCTTTCCCTTGGCTCCAAGGGGATACTCTCCCTGCTAGTGGCTCTCCATCCTCCTCATCCTCAGGAGGTTTGTGAGCTCTCACCACAACCCCTCCTCCAGTCACACCCTGGAGATCTGGAGATGTGGCTCAGGCCAGGGAGAGGATGGAGATGCAGGTACCTACCTACCTCTGCCTTAGGAAGCTAAAGTTCCAGAGAGAGTGTGCCTGCCCTGTGCCTTCCAGAATCCAGACCTTATTCTATTAAATAGCTGGAGGAAAAATGACAGCAACCCCCACCCCCAGCCCTTCCCAAGAGGTCACAAAGTTTTTTTCAGGTGGGGGTGTCCAGCTGGAGCTTGGCAGCTGGTTGGGGAAACACAGAAGTGACCTTGTGGGAAACTGATATTCTTTAGGGATGAGGATGTCTAGGCAAATGGACAGAGAACACAAAGAAATGGAGCGATGGTCAAACAAGCAAATATTTGGCAAATGAGCAATAGTAAGGACCACGGGTAGTCACCCTCTCCACACATATGCTCAGTCTCACTGAGACACACAATTGCTCACACTCTCTCGTACACTGCCCCCTCTGCCAGGCTGCTTTGAGCTAAAAATAGGCCAGGCCTGGAGGCTGGGTCAGGGCCCTGGACTCCCACCCCTTGAGCCAAGGCTGTCACTGCTTCTCCCTTGCATAGTGTTCACCTTGGACCCCAAGCCCTTAGAAAGCCCCCACCTCTGGCCTCCCAGTGCCACTTACTCCATCCAACCCCAGCCCCACTCCAAAGGGCAGGAGTTGAGAATAAGGACCACGTGCCCAGACTTACAGGCGAAGGGAGCTTCAGTGTGCAGACTCCACCACCCCTCTCCCCAAAGCCCCAGCTCCCTCAGTTGTCCTCAGCTGCTTCTTGTCACCGGTCTCTGGAGCCTGACAAGGTGGCCCCCAGTTAGGAGGGGACAAGGAGAGCTGTTTCCCTTCCAACTCCCACAGTCCCAGGTTCCCTCCATTACCGACCCTGTCCCCAACCCCTCCCGCACTGCTGCGGGTACCTTTCAACTCAGAAACTCCCGAAGGGGGCTGACTGGGTGGGGGATGCAGGGTTGGTTAAGGGGGGAGGGGTCGAGGCCTTAGTAGGTCCCCTATCCCAGGTCTGGGTAGGAAGAGACTCACTCTCCGGATAGGCACTGAGTGGAGGCGTTAGTCCTTGGGTCAGTCTCAAAGAAGCACAGATGCAGAGTGGGGGAGGGGATAGAAGACCCTCCCCCCCAGTCGCCCTCAACTGGGCTCATTCGTCCTCAGAAGGGCGCACTGCTAAGAAGGACTAGGCAGGGGAGCGGGGCCCACCACCGCAGGGGTCCCTTGTCTTTTGCCGGACGAGTACCCGCCGCCCCGCCCTGCTCCGCACCTGCTCCGCCGCCTCAGGGTCAAGGTGCGGTTCCAGCAGCGGGACCGTGAACTGGATCTTCCGGGGGCTGCTGTCTTGCTCCATGGCTGGGGCGGCGGCCGCGGGGTCCGCGCTGCGGAGGGAGGGAAGGCGGCGGGACTCGGGGCTGGGGCGGGCGCGCTCCTTCTCCGCTCCGCTCCGGCCCCGGCCCCAGCCCGGCGCGCTCGGCTCCCCGCTCCCGGCTCAGCGCTCCCCGCTCGCGGCTCGCGGGACTCCGCAGCCCGGGATTGGCCCCGCACCCGCCCCTCCCGGCCCCTCCGCCTCCCCCGGCCCGGAACTTAACCCCCTCGTGGCTGCGCCGGCGGCTCCGGGGGTCAACGCCCCGCGGGCGGGCGCGTCCGGGCGTGGCCCGGTGGCAGTCGTGGTCGATGGAGGGGGCAGATGCCTGCGGACTTCTGGGTAGGGAGTGGAGGTGGGAAACGGCTACCAAGAACTTTCAGCTGGGGTTAGGTTTTAGGGGCTGGGGAAGTGGAGGGGCGCTGCAGGAGAGGAAGATTTCATGCATCATCTTAAAGGGGGTTGCACTATAGAGAAGAGATAGAGAGGAGATGTAGGCATGCAGCAGGAGGGATTAAGGTTAGACTTGAGAGGGACTTTCCCTTGAGAGAAAGCATGGAGGTGAAAACCCGTTAACTCAGCAGCATGGAGAGGGAACTTGAAGACCTCAGCCGGCCTTTAGAGGGAGATCGTTCCTGAAGTGCGGATGGGAGTGGGTGGAGGGCTTGAGGAGCGAGGACCATCTGGGAATCGCAGAAGGAGTAATAGGGTGGGGTGCCAATAACGCTTGTGAAATAGATGTGGCATTCTGCTTGCTAAATTAGGTGACTATAAAGTAGGTGAAAGGCCTGCAAGGGGAGAACTCTGGGGAGTGGAGAGAGAGACTCCTGGGTTAGACTGTGTGGAGAACTTACTAGTTTGGTGTAGGGCTGAACTATCAATCCAAACTGCCAAGTGGGGGAGATAGGATGTTCACAGGAACTAGAGTGCCCTTTCTATGGGTGGGGGTCACTGGGCAGAGGGAGGGGAGGTGCTGGGGCATTGCGGCAGGCAGGGCTGGATGTCTTTGGGGGTGAGAAGGACTGGTGCTGGGCAGGCGGAGCACAGGGAGTGCAGGAAGAGGACAGAGGGTCTTTCTTTCTTTAACCCTAAACCAAGCAGCTGCCTAGTTCTCTGAGGACACTGTCATCCTCTTCTTTAAGGGGTCGGCCTCAACTCTCAGCGTCTCCTCTCCTGGACAGCCCTTCCCTGCCCTCCCAAAATAACCTCTTCTGCCCTGCCCCCAGCCATATCCTTTTACACACACACCAGGCTCAGTTTCTCAGAGCAAGGCCAGGATCATAGAGACCCAGGGGACCAGCTGGACATCCATTTGCATGTTCATTGGCCCTAGTTTTGCTGTCACTTGGACTCTGGGAATGACTCCCTACTCTCCACTGCACCTGCTGGGCCCTTTTGATCTGTTTGGTATAGCAGGGCTTTCCAGGAAGCAGCTGGCTCCCTTGACTCTAACCTCTCCCCTCCAAAGAAGTGACAGTGGAGGGAGAGATTGTGAAGGTATTGAGGCAGAAAGGGTAAGGTTGGGGGATGGGGAGATAGATGGATAGGTGTCTGGCCCATTAGGGCCCAGTCACTTGCTTTGGCCTCCTTGTTTACCCCACTTCCTAACCACATGTACACAGAGCAGGATTCAAAGTACCCCCTAAATAGCGGACTTGTCTGTTCCCTATCCCATTCTACCAGGGCCATGGGACTTGAGTCCAGGATTCTCACACCCTCGTCTCTGGGGAGCCTCAACCTCACCTGTAAAGTAGACAGAATGGTTCCCACCTCCTAAGGTTGAGTTGTGAGGTACCCGGCACCTGAAAGTTCCTCAATGAATTGATAGCTGCCAATATTATTGTCTCCTAGTAGATCAGCAGAATTGGGGACAGTCACCAAGAAGATCCTTGCTATCACCTGGTCATCCCCTTTGCCTAGTCATCTTTCAAATTCCCTTCCTTCCTTCAGATTCTGGTTACACAAATTCCTCCCAAAGCCCTCCACCCACATTTCATGTTATCAAGTCCCAGATTCTCAGACTCCCTTGTCCAGAAAGCCACAGGTAAAGGGAGGTACCAAGAGAGCTTAGGCTTTGGGAGATGGCAGATGAGAGGCTGTGTGGGAGGTGGGGTCCCGGGAGCAGATGGTGCTGGGGTGGAGGCAGAGGAGAGGAGAGAGGGAGAGGGAAGAGAGGCAGTTCCTGGTACTGGCTTTGGGAGGAGACTGGGGCAGGTGGGCGAAGCATTTGTGGGCAGTAGGGAGGGGAGTGCGGTTGGGCGCAGCCTTTGATGCCGGGGGAAGCTGCAATGGGTCTGTCTGTGAAGGTGTGTGTTGCTGTTTTGACTTTTATTTATGTCAGAGCTGTGTGAGAGTGCCTGTTGGGCTTGTGGGTGTTACACACGGGGCTGGGGAGGTGCACAGGGTCCGATGCCTGTCTTGTCACCTTTCCTAGAGTGAGTAAGAGTTAGAGTCTCCTCCTCTCAACCCTTCCCTCAGCTCGCTTGTCTCTGTGTAGTGTGCTTGGAGCATGCCAGCGTCATCGCCCTGCTGCAGTCATAGGCTGGGCTGGAGGAGCAAACAGCTGTGTGTCCTGCACTTGGGTCCATGAAATATTTAAGCTTACGGGGATGTGACTTGGCGATACAGCCACTTAACAGCTCCCACCCTCCCCTGCTCTGTGGCTGGACTCTGGGTTAACGGGGCTGCTCTTTGTTGCTCTCAGCACTTTAGCTTTTATTTTTCTACCCCTCTCATTCTCCACTAACCTCCCTGTGCAGTAATCCACTAATCCTCACAAACAACTGGGAGGGAGGGCAGGTATTAGTATCTTTATTTTACTTTTCAAGGGCAGGGTAGTGTAGAGAGGTATTGTTGAGATGGGCCACCTGGGCCACCTTTGAAAGGTCAGGGTTCAAGTCCTCCCTGTGCTACCAGCTCTCTCAGTGACTCTGGGGTCACCTCCTCCCCTGCCACCCCCTTCTCCTGCACTAGGCTCAGTTTCCTCATCTGCAAAATGAAGGGGACCAGGTGACTATGCAATTTCTTTCTGTTTAACTATTCAGTCCTTCCAAGTTAAAGACGCTCCAGTCACACAGTCAGGACATCTCAGAACACCAGAGCTCTGAGGACCTTACCTCTATCTTTGCATTCCTCCCTGCCAGGCCAGGGTGGCAGGGACACGCTCCTGGTGTTACATTCGTGATGCACGTACACTTTTCACATAGTTCTGAGGAGGTAAGATGAGAGACGGCTTCCATACACCCAAAGGAGCAGCGACCCCTCCATGTGCTCCTGGAGGAAGCCATCTGCTTATACTAACCTGCCGCAGCTTCTCAAACATTCTGCAGACTCTTTTGAAATAACCTCCGAGCTTGTGGCATATGCTTTGAACATTCTCACCGGGGAATGGATCTTTGTCATTTAGGGTGGCTTTGTTCATTTGGAAATGACTGAGAGTCTGAAAGGCCAACCCTTGTGAAGGAGGATGGCCAGGAGGGGAGCTTGCCCTGGAACAGAGGCATGGGACCCCACAGTGAGACTGTGTCCTGTGGGGCTCTAGGCCATCTAGACAGCCTCTCTGCAAGAAGAGTTCCATAGTCCCATAGTTTCTTGTGAGGCCCAGAAACAGCAATGGACTAGATGTGTGGCCTCTAAGGAGGTGACTGTGTAAGTCCCACTTTGCCTGTGAAAAAGCCCATCATTGCAATTCTGCCAGGCTTGGTGCACACCCTCCTGCAGCTGGCACTGTTGGGAATGGGGCCAGAGCTGGTGACTCAAACAGAGGGGATGCTCATTTCCAAAGTGCTTTGTCTCTTCACGAACCACAAAAACTACTGGGAGAGGTGGAAGAGACTTAGAGAACAGCCAATCCACCTGCCACCGGCTAGAGTGGGGAAATGGAGGTTAACTGAGAAAAAGCACCTCTCTTCAAGGACCGGAAGCCCTGCCAACACTGTCCAGTAAACAAGATTTGGTGGCTATGGTGGGGCAATGGCTCAGTCTGAAGCTGGGGCACGGACCAGATGAACTCTTGAGATACATTTTCAACAGCCTGGAAGCCAGTCCCTAGAGTCCCTAGCTAGCCTATAGCGAGCCTCTTCCATTCCCAACCCCATGAAAGGTTGAATTTATTCTTTTAACAGATATTTATTGGGTATTGATATGTGCCAGGCATCATGCAAAAGTACTGGAGACGCAGTGGAGCACAAAACAGATATATCTCTGTTCACTGACAGCTTAAGGACTAGCAGGAGCCAGGGTGGCAGTGAGGTGGCCAAGTAATTGTCAGCTGTGACTAATGCAACAGCAGAAGCATGTGATATTGTGGAATAAGGGGGCTGGGGAGGGGGGAGGAGGTCAGCATGGTCTCTGCTCAGACCCCACTGCTTCCCTTCTGTGCTGAGTCCTTTCAGCATGGTGGTTCAACTGTAGCCTCTGGAGCAGTCTGCCTGGGTTCAAATCCCAGCCCTGCCACTTAGTAGCCCTGTGACCTGGAGCAAGTAGCCTCCTCTCTGAACCTTTAGGTCCTCACCCTTAAAACTGGATTAACAACATGTATCCCTCCCATAAATAGTGAGGGGAGGGAGGAGGTAGCACCCATTATGTGCTGGCAAATATTTTCTCCTTTGACTCTTGAAAAGGCAGGAATGATGGATCAATGGGGTTTCACTGCCTTTGGGAGTTGGGGGAGGTGTCTACAGGAGGACACCCCTCGCTGCTTTTCAGAAGGTCCTGTTCCTCTTCACTCTTGTTGGGGCAGCTGTTCTTTATGTCCAGCTGTGTCCTCAGCAACATGGACAATCACTCTGTTCTGCTAATTAATACTGCCCTGTTAATGATTAAATCTAATGACTTTGACTGAGGGTGAGAGCATGGAAAATTCCCCAGCCACAGGACATGATGAGGGTAGGTTTCCAGGAGTCGGAGGGGAAGGACCCCCTGGGCTCTGGACATGTTGTTGTAGGTGGCTGGGAGACCAGATGCCAGCCTTTTTCCTGGGGCTGCGC